TTGTTCACCTAATTAACCCACTTAAATCCAATAAAGCGAACATTGACCCCAATATTACTTAGTTCAATGACCTCAATTAAAGCTTTCTATTATATCTTTACGTTCATTAAACATTTACTATGGTAACGAATCATCCGAATTCCATATAAGTAAGTAAAAATCAAATCCGGACTATGGAGGAGGGTAATAAAATTGAATCTAGTTGGTGAGGAATATCAGTCCGGCCACTATATATTTTAACTAAATGACCTAAAAGGCATCAACAATAGGGAAAATTCAAATAACCGAGAAATGTATTTAAAAAGGTGATTACGAATGTGGAAGATATATCATTAAGTTTATCGTGTAACAAATTTCAGATATGAATCATTGAGCTGGGGAATAAGAAGGGGAAGGGGAGACGTTTGACGAATATTGAGCAGATTGTGGATGTTTGTGTGTAGAGATTGCAACTTTGTTGCGAGCCTCTTCTCTGTCGAGTAACCTGGCCCTTCGCAAAAGCACGGATACCCAATCCGGGCCGCTAGTATCCCACACTGGTTCCATCAATTCGTCTTCTTCACACATCCAGAAATGAGAATATGAGGATTTACCTTTACACCCTAATTTATATACCAATTCGGTCAAAGTGTTTCACCTCAAATAACCAATACAAATGCAATCTACTCCTCCTTACTACAATTAGAATGGCTTATCCAATTGGATCTTCTCAACAATTGCCAATCAGATTGCCACATTATTGGTCCGAACGCGTACCAATTAAATTAGTCGATCACCATCTCATTGATTCGACCGAAAAATTTGTTTGTTTCATTGGTTTATTGATTGATTGTTTGTTTGACGGATTGATTATTCACTAAATGTTTGGCAGAGTGTTGTATGCTAGTGCCTCATGCATTGCCATCAAAAACCATGATCAAGGGACACTATGAATCCTACCTCATCTGATATCATCACCGACATGAGCTTGGAGTAGTCGGTCAGACTGATGGACTCCCAACACGCTGACATATAATTGGTGATTGATCCCAATTCTGCCACAATTTATGTCAGAAATAGATGAGCTGAAATCATCCAAAATAGATAAAATTGAAATAACACAGTAATTTATTTATAAAAAATGTAATTACAAAACTGGGAATTACTTCATGAAGTTGATTGAGTAACGAAGTTGAGATAAAAGTGGATGAGACCCGTGTGTCGAGAACGTGCACATTATCTTGGAGGACACGGTGGACTCGTTGTGGCGAACTTTGGAATTGGTGACGGTGGATACCGGTGTCATGTGAATCTTCAAAAATTCCTCTCGGAGAGGCTACTGTGTGTGGACAATGTTAGGAGGACCACTTGTGGTTTTCCTGCCTGCCCACAACTCATGAGCCACTTCTTCTTCCTCTGCATTGCAGTAGTCATTCCACAATGCGACAAAAAACGAGTAGTCGCTGCCCCATTCGCTAGTGAT